TCTCTCTCTCTCTCTCTCTCTCTCTCTCTCTCTCTCCCTCTCTCTCTCTCTCTCCATCAATCTTTTTCTTTCTCACCCACACACATCCTCTCACTCCCCTTTCCAAGTTGCATATTTCATATCAAAAATTCAATGCCAACCATAATGAACAACTTCATGAGCAGCCCTCGTAGTGGAAATGGTATTTATAGCACTTGTTGTTGCTGTTCTCCGAGCCGCCTGCTATCATGTGTGCCGCTGTGTCAGTTGTCATGCCAATTGAACTGGCGTGTTTAATAAATATGACTTCTGAAAGAGAAGAGAACCCCAAACCAGCTGGATCAGTGGATCTACAAGAGCAGCGCTCCAAGCAGAGAGTCAGAGCTGGCCAAACCAGACCACAGACGAGGCCAAGCTAAGCTGGACTCCTTGTGTAGCTGCTCCACTTGCAATAGGCAACTAGTTGCAACGGTTCTTTGTGCTTGTCTGCCTCTCATTATCTCGTTCTCTACTTAACAATCTCTCTCTCTCTCACTCTGGCTCTCCTGCTCGCATCCAGTTCGATGGCAGAGAAATAAATAGCACGCCTGGATGCCTGCTGGAATAGCTGGTTACCAGAAAAACTAACTAAGCTAAGCGGTCTGGCTAACTGCTGGCTGACTAGCTGGCCGGCTAGCTAGCCTTGGCGGGCCTTAATGAATCAACGCCAAGAACGCGTGCTTCATGGCGGTATTTGGGTGATCGCTGACCAAAGTTGAGCACCAGCAGTGGCAGCAGGTGGGCACCAAGAGCTGGAAAGCGATCTTGATCGGTCATGCATTCAATAGACAACAGCGATTGCATGTGCTCCACTTGCCTCCAATGGCGTCGTGTTCTCCCCATTGTTTGCAGCTCTAATTACCAACGATCTTCAGCTCTAATCACCACACATTTAATTGCCCTGGCCGCTGACTCGAGTGTGTGCCAGTCGATCAGGCCACTTAAGCAGCCATCGGCCAGCACAGAGATGAGGAGCGACTCAGCTGGCTAATAAAGAATTTGTGGCGTATCGATGACAATCACAATTTCAATCAATCACAATCGATCGCCGATCGCCGATGATCCTGCTGTAATCTAGCTTTATTCGTTAGTCAGCGCCTTAGACACAAGACCAGCTAAGCTGTTTCTGATTGATTGATCAGTTAGGCATTATTTATTATAATATTTATATGAAAGGATGGCATAGTTCGGGTCCAACCATGCTAATACAATTTCCAATAAGTAAGCCCACTCTAATTAGCTGCTAAAGCAACTGCTTTTCACATTAAATTTGAAGATCTTGTTGAACGCATAAATCTGCCTAGGCTTGCGTATAAAATTTCATGTTTATGGCCAACAGACATAGAGTGAGACGGGTAGATAGACACAGAGAGCGAGAGAGAGAGAGAGAGAGAAAATGTCAACAGTTGGCAAATACGCTAATGAAATGGGGCAAGTGAATGCCATAAAATTGCATTAGCTGCAAATCACGGCAAAGCCGACAGCAGCATTAGCAACAGCACCACCGGCACCACCGGCACCACCGGTAGCCACTTAACTGGGTAGAAGCTGCGCATTGCAATAGCTCTGATTCCGTTTTGGCGTCTATGTTTGTCGCAATCATTTAAATAAGCACAGCTCCACAATCTGGCCGACTTTTACCCGACGCCCCGGCCAAACTCAATCCCAATTGCCGCTTAGCGCGATAAAGAACAAAGCTTTCACCCCATCAACAGGCCAGAGCAAAGTCGGATTCAGCCGACTTTTGCTTTTAATGCCGCGCGCCTAGTTAACTGAAATTGGCCAACTGCATTTGCGTGCGATTCACTTACCAAATGTCTACAGATGCGGCTACCAGCAGCTGAACGCAGTCCAGGCAGCCCCTTGCCGCCGCATAGTGCAGTGCCAGTGCGCCTCCGTTGGGTCTTTCGTTGCCAGAAATCGAACCCGGATGCATTGGCCCGGACATGTTCAGGCCGATGGGCATGCCCGCCAAGTACGAGTCCAGCTGATGGGCATGCATTCTGCTCAGATTGTGATTGCTTTTGCTTTTAATATTGTTGTTGTTGTTGTTGTTAATGTTGTTGTTGTTGGTGCTGTGACTAATATTGCTGCTGCTGCTGTGCAGCTTATTTAGCTTAATGTTGTAGTTGTGGCTGTTGTTCGTGTGCTTCAAGTGCTGATTCGGGTTGAGCGCGTAGTCATTGATAGTTCTGCAAGAGAGTGGATCAAAACATTGCTGATTAAAATACATACTAAATTTATTCCAACAAAAAAAACATTGAAATCAATTAAAAATATGTTTATCTTCATCATACTGTTGCTAAGTCAAAGTTTTGCCAAGTTATTGTTGTCTCTTATTAAATATTAGCTGAGTCGCACTACTACTAATTTCACGAGCTTACTTAATTTAAATTTAGTTCATTTTCTTTCACAATCTCTAATTTGTAAAAAGAAAAAATTATAATAAAAGCTAATAAATAATACGTTAGTATTCATATTTTATGTTGTGTTTTCTTTATTATGTTAACTATATAATTTCGTTGTGCAACATTTTGTAATACTATTTTTATGAGCAACTAAATTTAGTTAACTTCATTTCACAGCCACTGAAGTTGGCAAAGAAAAGTAAGTCTATAAAGTAATTAAAATATTTAAATATTCCATATAAATAATATTTCAATATTTGTAATTTAATTTTTACATTGTTTTTTAATTTCAATTTTTTTATTATTTATTTTTTCATTTTTTTTATATTTTATATTATATTATATTTATTATTATATTATATTATATTTATATTTTTAAATATATATAAATATATATAAATTTTTTTATTTTATTTATTTTTTTTATATTTTATATTATATTATATTTACATTTTTATATATATATAAATAT